CCAGCCTGTCTCCTCGTCCAGGCCCAGTGTGCCCCAGGCGGGGTCCCGGGGCGGGCAGGGTGCGCGGCGGCTCACCTCGGGCTGCTTGCAGGGTCTGGAGCCTCCCGCTACGCGCAGATCGACATCCTGGCCACCGAGGCGGCCCACAGGGCGGGGGCCCTGCATGCACACACCAGGAAGGAGCGGCTGCACGACCTGGAGCAGAGGCGGAAGGGGGTCCCGCGGTGAGGTGGCTGGACTCCACCAAGACCGATGCCCCAAGGGAGCGGCCCCACGGCATCTCTGTTGTATCCTGACGGTCAGGCTCCGAGCAGAGGGTGGGCGAGCTGCCCTGGGCCCTGGTGCAGGCGGGTGGACGGTTCTGGGGCTCCTGTCCTCCCGCCTGGAACCTCCCGAGTCTCTGGTGTCCAGAGCCCGCCCTTCCTCTGACGTCCACTCTGGCCCCCAGGCCGGCGGGAAGTGCCACCTGGACAGATGCTGGGTGGCTCCGGTTGGACCTGGTGCAGCGTCTCAGCACCTGGTGAGCAGTTTCCGGCCCTGGAGGTGGTGACCACCCAGTGACAGCGATGCATCCCATCACTTGAGCACCTGGCCCCCCACGCCCTCCGCAGGGCCCCAGCCATCCCCATCCTGGTCACCGCTGCCTGTGCCTGGACCAAGCTGCGGTGCGGCCCTCACGCTTGGCTGACTGCCCCCTTCTTCGGGCCCATTCGTCCTGTAAACGGGTTAAAGTCGATGGCTTGTGCTCCACTGTCAGTCACGCATTAATTCCTGAGGGCGAGGCGCCCGTGCTCTCCGCCGTCCAGACACACAGAGGGGCTGGGCTGGGGTTAGGCCTCCTGGTGGCCTTGGGGGTCATGTGGCATTTCCACGATTCAGTGGATGGGAGGGGTGGTCCTGGCTCCACTGGCTGTTGGGGGCCTGGAGGCTGGGAGGTTCCCAGCCTTGGGGGTGGGCTTCCTGCTCCCTGGGCTGTAGCAGGACAGGAAGGCCGGGCCGGGCACTCCTACCCTGGTCTCGGACATGAGATGGCGCTCTGCCCTGCCTGGTGGGGCTCCAACCACGGCCACGCAGACCCATCCTACCCTGCCCGCCTCCAGGGACCCCACCCAGGACCCAGTGGGCGTGGCTAGCACGCCCATGGGGAGCACATACGGCTCACACCCCACAGGCCCTCCTTCTCAGTGGGGGCCCCTTGGGTTAGTGGGCCCAGAAGTCCAGTCCCCTTCCCCACCGAGTCCGTGGAGGCAAATGTCCCGCCTGGGGTGCAAAGGCCGAGGGGCCGCCCCACAGGCAGGTCAGGATCTCACATGCCCTGGATGAGATGCCAGGGTAGCGGGACTTGCCTTCTCAGGTGCGCGTGGTGGCAAAGCTCAGCCAGTGTGCCCCAGTCCAGGGCTCCAGCTGGGCCAGGGTCCTGCAGGTGCAGGGGGCCGACCTCCGTGCCCTGGGCAGGCCACACGTGTCAGCTTAGGGCTGGGCAACTAGGGGTCCCAGGCCTTACCTGTGACCTCGAGGGGCTGGCGTCTGGGGTCTCCTATTTTCAAAATGGGATGAGCCTGCTGTGTTTTCACAAAGCTAACGTGGGGTCAGGTCACGGATGTGTGACGTGTCCGGGAAGGGGCGCCATCCCTGCCGCCTGCCCTGTGGGCAGCCGAGGGGCCTCCTGCGGACCCCCCGCTTGGGCACATGGCTGTGAGGAACAGAGTAGCTCCCGCAGGGTCAGGAGGGCCCAGCCAAGGGCACCATGAGAGGGGCCATCGGGGAGCAGGTGCTCGGGAGGCTGGGAGGGGCCTGGAGTGCGGGTGCCGGCCGAGGCTGAGGGTAGGGGTTTGTTCTGATGAATGGTGGCCAGGCAGGGCCAAGTGGGGCCAGACAAACACCTTCCCTCCTCCGGAGCTGTGAAGCCAGCACTTGGTGGCCCGATTCGTTGGGGTTAGCTCTGCCAAGCTGCTACAGCCGCCAGGGCCAAGGCACACGTCCACAGGCTCGAGCTGGGGAAGGGACTCCGCCTTTGCTGAGAGGACGGGGCACCCCTGCAGTGACGCCTGTCACTGCTCTTCCCACTGCCTTCATGTCCCATCCCTCTCACATCCTCATGACCCCTCTGCCCTCAGGTCCCCGGGCGGGACCCTCGTTAGGCCCGAGCTGGCCCGCAGGAGGCTGCGCAGGGCGCCGGACACGACCCGGCAGAGGCGTCCTCCCCCGGCCTCCCTGACCCCAGCGTCTCAGCTCTGAGATACCACAGTTGGACTGAACATCGCATTACTTTTTTATTGAGGTGTAACTGACAAATACCACGATGTGGGTTTAGGTGGACAACATGAGGGTTCAGTATTTGTGTATATTGTGAGATGACCCCCACAGTGAGCCCAGTGAACACCCCCCCTCAGAGTTAGACTTTTCCCCTTGTGACAAGATCCCTAAAGACCAACTCGCTAGCGACCTGCAGTGTAAATCCGGGGCTGTGACCTGCAGGCGCCACGCTGCGCACAACCTTCGAGACTCCACTTCTAACTGGAAGTTCGCACCTTTTGGCCCCTGCACCCACACCGCCACCGCCCGCCGTCCACCTCTGCAGCCACAGGTCTGCTCTGTGCTGAGCTCACGTCTCTCCTCCGGAAGCTTCCCCGTGTGAGTGAGTCATGCACGTGCCTGTCTCCTCTCACTCAGCGCGGCGGCCTCTGGGCCCATCTGTGAAGCTGCAGATGACAGGGGTTCGCTTCTTCAGCGGCCGGGTGGCACTGCGCGTGTGTACGTGTGCGCACACACGCCGCATCGGCCTGTCCACGCGCCCATCGACGGGCACTCGGGGGCTTCTGCCTCCCGGATGCGGGGCATCGCGCTGCAGCGACACGGCACGCGTGAGCCAGCGTTTCCGTTTCCTCCCGGTCGACGCCCAGCAGCGCGGCTGCGGCTCCCACGGCAGCTCTGCTTTCAGCTTCGCCTCCATTTTGTGGGGGGAGGAGTGACTGGGCTTGCTTATTTGCTTGTATCTCGTAACTTCCTTGGGGGGATGGATGAGGTTTACTCACCGATTTATTTAAGTGGAGCTACCGGGGACCGAACCAGGACCTCAGGCCCGCTAAGCCTGCGCTCTGCCCCTGAGCTGCACCCTTCCCCCATTCTTCTAGACTCCGCAGTGATCTGAGCTCCTCTTATAAGAAGCTGGAACACAGACAGCAAATTAAACACAAATTAAATAGAAGAGTAAGAACAGGAGTCAGTGAAAAAGAAAACGGACAAACAAGCGGCAGAGAAAAATCCATGAACCTCAAGGCTGGCTCTGGGGGGAAAACGCCCACGGAACCGGCAAAGCCCCGGGTGAGACGCGGCGGGGCGGGCGGAGGGGCGGGGCGGGG